GTATATTTAAATTCGTAAATTAGCATAAGGATATGCTTAATTATTATCATTAAAATACATATTCTAGACGCATTTCCTTTTTTTCAGTTCTTTTAACCTTTTATCAATTCGTGTTGAACATTTGTTTTTGCTGTTCTAAACCTACACTTTAAACTAATATATGTGCCTAACTCTAAGTGAATTTTAACTTTAGTTACTCACAGGTTTTTCTAAAAAATTAAGTGAAAAGGTATATTAAAAAATATATAATTTATTTGGGGTTTGATTCTCGTCTGATAGGGGGTAAGAAAACACAAAGTACTTATAAATTCTTTATTTAATGCTATTATTTACAGTCATAATACTCGTGGCAGATATAATTTACAATTATTTTAAATGGATACCTATCTTATTTCATTATTAATAAGGTTGTTTGTGAATCACGCGAATATTTACATAACATTTTTCCCTAAAACTAAATAACGCTTACAAATAATTTAATTTAGCAAAGAACGGCAAAAAATATTATTAATATCTGAATTTTTATTAATATAAAAAAAAATACATAACGTTTGTTTTGTAACCTAAAATATTAAAGACGTGAAAATAATATGGGTATATTATATTTTTTTATAATTACTGTCTAACAGAAAGAAACTTCTAAGTAGCTGATCTCAATAGCAACACGAATTATTATTATCAAATACAATGTTCAAAAGGCTCATGTTTCTTGAAATATATTCAGCCAATATGTTCTAAGCTTCTTCAAATAGGGATGATGACCGGGTAAAAAAAATGCAATTCTATTTAGTCCGTCAGTCAGATAATAGAAAAATATTAGATACGTATTTTTTTTTTTACTTCCATGTAACAAGAAATAGCTTAGATAATAGGCATTAAAGTTGAGGGGTAGGGGCTCGCCACGTCACAGTTGAATAGAAAACGTACCCTAACGTGACGTCATGCGAAATTTCAACTCCATGTAACACCCTCATTTTATGATTACGAAAAAAATAAAAAAATACGTGTTTAATATTTTTTAACACTCTACCTGACGGACAAACAAACAAAAATTAGTCATCATCCCTATTCTTCCAGTATTAAAGCTACTCAATAAAAATATAACAATGCCGTTTTAATATAAATATTTAGTCTTTAACTTATGAGCAGTTTCATATCAATATTTGTTTACTATTACTATTATTTATAAACAAAAACAAGTTCTAAATCTTATATTAAATTCTAAGTTTTAATTTATCTCTGCTATTTCAACACTAATCGAATATTTTATTTACAAAATATTTCTATTTTTACATTTTTATTTGATATGCTTCTTTGTGATTATTATTATTTATATGTATGAATAATTTCGTTGACTATTAAAGTGGCATTTTTAGTATAAACTGTTCAAAAAGTCTCGTGTCGACCAATCCATGCGATAGTACTCTGCATTTACCCTACTTTGAATTATATTTCGTTATTAATCGATTTTTAATCCCTGAAATTGTAAACGATAAGTGTCAAGAAAGTTGTAGCATTTAAAAGAACTAAATAAGGGTCGGTGCATATCTGACGGAAAATGCGTCTCGTAATTGTCTATTGCAGAACGTTAAAACTGACAAATATTTACGCCACTCAACCATAAACTAGACAAAGGATTCGTGACGTACTACCGCATACTTCTATAAGACACTTGGCGTCCGTCAGATTTGTATCAATCCTCAGAAGTATATCGCATGTATTTATTTCACAGTTTTGGACGAAGCTTGAGACAGATTCATATTCGGTTAACAGAATTTGTTTCTTCGTTTTGACAATTGTTAAAATTCCGAAAGCTCAAATTTTGCATTTAAATTACATCTCACGAAACCCAATTATCTCAGGCTTCCTTATAATTATAATAATAATATTTATTTATATACATATCAATATTACTGGTTTGTTATTACACATAAATTTTCACTGATAGAAGTAGTTAGGTGTTTAGAAAATAAAAGTTGATAATGATAAGTTTGAATTGAGTACATAGAATTTATAAACTAAAAAAAACTTTAAGAAACCAAAGTAAAATTACTAAATACTGATCAACTGACACTATTGTTGTTTTTTCGAATATATATGAAGACTATTTGATAATGTGACGGGTGTGTAACACTATAATTGTCATGATTCTAAGAGTCGGTGCAAATCTAATTTATGACCAATCTTACTTACTATAACGAACTATGCCACGTCCATTCCACTCCTGCGTAAACTAGAAGCAATCGAAATACAAGGAAACGTAAACTCTGCAACAGCTAGCAGTCTGACCGCAAGCAAAGTAAGAAAACTGACTCAGACCTAATAAGTCATCGGTTAAGTAAGGTAGCATTCTTTCGCCAACACTGATTCAAATATACGTCAATGATATTTGCAAAATTGATATCCTCCGATGACACAACACTGATTATAACTGGTTTTGATTTTACGAATACGGTAGCAAATTCTGAGAGAGCCCTAGAAGTTGAAACAATAGAAAATAATAGAAACAATAAAACTTACTTATACTCAACATTTTAACTAAATTTATGAGCCTTGCCATCATAACCTCAGCTCAATCATTAGATAAAATTGTCCAACTGCAAGCTCATAAGTATATGCCAATCCAAAAAAAAAAACAGTACCTGTCCAATACTGTAAAAAACCGAGTCAGTTAAATAAATATCTAGGTATTACAGTGGATGGATGGCTAAACTGGTATCATCATATTCGTGCAACCGTGAATCGAGTACGGAAGTTAATTTATGTCTTTAAAAAGCTGCGGATCTTGATATCCTACAGCCTGTCTACAGAGTTCTCTGTGAATCTATAATATCTTACTGTATACCAATTTGGGGAGGTATAACATATCTGCAATTCTTATCTTGGAGTGAGCGCAAAGAGCTTTGCTTTAAAGTTTAACATAGAAAACCATTCATACACCCAACAGCTCTATTATAAAGTCAAGCTAAAGTACTACCTGTTAAACAAATATTAATACACAAAACTATATTTGTTCAACGCACTCTGTCTCCTCCAATACCAACATTTTTTAAAAGTAAAACCACTGTGTCCAGTTGTAACGTGTAAAACAACTTTCGCCAGAAGACATCTTGTATCTACCAAGTCCAGAATATACAACATAGTTGACAAAAACATAATATCTAGCAGAATAATAAACACAACTGAAAACAATTTTTTAACAATAAATTATCAGGATATAGGGGAAATACAAAAATAACTTAAATACTTGCAAAGCTTTCCAACAATCAATATTCACATTCTCAAGTGAACTCACCCACACACACGACCGCACACACAAAACACTACAAAGCAGTCATATCATTCTAATTTTAACTTTATTTTGTTTTCTATTCTATTTATAAATTATTTCTCATGAAACATTATAATTTTTATTATTAATTTATTGTAAACTTAATAAACTGGATTGTAATGTATGAAATTGGTGCAATTGTTACGTAACTGCGTCCGTCCCACTGACTTCCAAATAACAGAGTAACCTAGCTTGGAAGGCAGATGCGATATTAATTAATTAATAACCTTTGTAACCTTATTCAAAGTAAACAAAGTCTGAAAAGTTAAAGAAATAAATTATTATCATTATTGTGCATTCATACACTCGAGGGACTGACGGGTCTATGGTTGGCTATTTAAAGTTGAATGTCATATTAAATACTTCTTAGTTTTAATACTCGTATTACACAACATATGTTACTCGGCTGATTTCTTAACAGATATGCATCGATATAATTTATTGCTATGCTATTTATTTATGAGATTTGATGATTTGTTTACTTTTACTTTTTTATCTTATTATGACATTTACAATGTAGCGTTTTGTACTTATAATAATTATAATAAGTTATTTCAACTACCTATCTACTTTTTCAGTGAATTGTAAATTTATTGCGTTTTAAAATAATAATAATTTGGAACGATCGTGTTAAATTGACATTGACACCGCCTAAAAAAACATAACTTATCATCTCGAAATATATAACGGTAATTTGATTTCATTGCTATTTAATGAAAATGGAAGAAAGTGAAAGCTACTATCAATAACATATTTTAAATATGGCAACACTGAGAATAACAAAAGGGTAGGAAGAGCAAACGCTTGGTGGCTGCGTCCTCCTGTGGATTCAACAGTCGGCAGCCAATTGTTGTCAAGCACAGACTGCTCAATTACATTTTGCATCGTATCTAAACAAGAAAAAAATTTATGAAGTCAAACATTTCATAAAGACCTAATGTAAATAAAATTGTGTATATGAAGCCTACAAGTTACAACAACTTTCATTTATATTCGTATTGTATTTTAAAATTTAAAGTTACTGAAATAAATTCAACTTACCATACGTAGTAACATCAGGTGTATAAAACTTTTGTTCGGCTGGTTGAAGTGGCACCACGAACCCTATGAGATTGAAAGCTTTTTATTTTATTTTGAACGGAAAAAAAGGTAAATGTAAATATAATAGTCTTTTATTCTATCTTATTTTCTTTCGTACGATAAAATACCTTAGAAATTGTTTGAAAATTAAAGAACGCAGATTGCTTTTTTCATAGTATCAATATACACACTGCAATACTGATAATACTTACTAGTTGGTAAATATTCTGTGGTAGTCGGTGGTGGTGTGGTCGTTGTTGTAGTTGTAGTAGTAGTCGTTGTTGTTGTCGTTGTCGTGGTTGTTGTCGTTGTTGTGATTTTAATTTCTGTAGCAATTAATTTCGATGTTACATCGACAGCATTGATTTTTTAGAAGAGGATCTTTAGTTAATAGATAAAAGTAGATGATAGAAATCATATAACAACTCTCACACTGTATTATTTAAGATATTCAAGACATTTTTATTATTTATATAAGTATTTATTAAATTCACATTACGGAAACAGAGGATGGCAGTATAGACTGTATTTTTCAATGGTAGATATAAATAGTACCTGATGATCAAAATATCTTGAAAATCAATATATCTTAAAGCGATTCTGGATAGTACGGCTTTGGCATGGTTTTTACGGCGCGGCTCATAAAACATGGGTCCTTGTACATGACACAGCTTACATTGTTATCTTTACAGAACTGACGACCGTGACTACTTTTAACGGCAGAACCGTAATCTTTCACGGTAGAAAGACGTACGCGTGCAAGGATGCTAAAAACGCATTGTAGTGATACAGGTTTTTTAAGCTAATTTTAAGCCATACTCACCGTATAGTCTAATCGTTCCTTCAGCTTTACCAAAACTATTTGTTGAAACGCATGTGTAAGTTCCAGAAACTTCCGTGTTAAAATCCATTATTGTCAATGCCATTCTCGTTTGATATGCAAAAAGTCTTTCCTCTGATATATCGTATTTTTCTCTGTAACAAAACGAACATTAAGGGTTAGTTGCACCAACTCACTTTAACAATAACAAACATGTTAAAGTACCGGTTAAGCAAACAATAATGAGTTATCATTTGGCAATGTTTGGATGACGTCAAAACTTTATCTGTAAACTATAACCGCCTAAATTTCGCTGGTTAAAGTTATTATTACTATGCCATGAAAGAGGATGGTGCAACGCATTCCGCAGCCAATGTTAAAGTCATTGTGATAGGTATTGTAAAATTTGACGTAAACCCATTTTGACTGCAATTATGGTGCAAGCTATATCACTGATAAAGAGTACCTACCAGGCGACTTTGAAATAATAATAGTTGACAATTTGGCCTTTACTTTTTAATAGATTAGATAATTCAGCTATCAGCTACTTACCCTGTGAAAATCATTTCCTCGCCCCCTTTCAACCAATAGTTGACAGCTTGAGGGTATGCCTCAATGAAACATTCCAGTCTAGTGTGTGAACCAGTGGGGACACCTATCACCTTAGTCGCCACTACTATTGATGGTGGAACTGTGAGAGTTAGAAACAGACGACAACATTTAGTAGAGAAACAAAGTAGAGTTTTTAGTTTATTTTGAAGTTGGAGCCCTGCTCTGTTTATACGAAAACGAAACTTGAAAGTGTATAACATTCTAATATAGTTAGCTCTCCGCGTCTGTGTGTAGAGGTACCTACGTTGTTTAAAATATTTATGTTCCAAAGGTTTTAGTTACTTCGTTTGAGATCACAGCAATCTATGTGGTATCGTCATAGAAAATATTTATTACTAGTACCCGCCAGCGACTTCGTTGTTGGAAAGTTTTTTATTTCTAAAGCCAATGATCAATTCAACACAAAAATAATTTTTCAATTCGAACCAGTAGTTCCTGAGATAAGCGCGTTCAAACAAACAAACAAACTCTTCAGCTTTATAATATTAGTATATATTATTAGATGAATAACGGTAGGCGTGCGCTATATCTAAACAGCTAATATTACTTAACGAATGTGGGATGTTTCACGTTGAGTCTGTATTTAGAAATAAGAAAAGACTTTTGTTGAAACGGTTGTTTCAAGATCTCTCACGGTGCGGGTGATCAAGAAACGAAAGAATGCCGACAAGAAGAAGCTAATGATGATTAAACCTACAGTCCAATTCTGTAATTTTGCCATTGTAAATAATTTCTTCCTGAAGTCCAAAATTATTATATATATGTCACTACTGATTTGTGAGGAAGACATTGCACTAATAATATTAGACATCAGGTAGAATTGACCCGCTTATAGATATACTTACAGGTAACACTGAGCATTATCCGTTTGCTAACAGATGGTGGTACGTCGTTGGATGCGATGCAAAGGTATGCTCCCATTTGTCGTCGCTCCACCTTCGTGAGGTTTAAATTCTGCCCCATAAACATGTCCACTACGTGAAAGAAAAGAAGAGATTCATTATTATTATTATTTAAAAAACGGATCAAGAGCGAGTCGGTTTTGCATAGGAAAGGTTCCGAGCAATGTATAGACAAAAATATAGTTTCTATATTTTTTGTTTTAGTTCCAGTACTACAGATAAGTGAAGGAATGGTCAGTTTTTAATAACTTCAAACATATTTATTTATTAAAAAACGTAATAGGCAAATGTATGTGTAACACTATATAAGGGTGTTACAGTGAAAAACAAACTGCAGTCATACCTTCAAAACGATTTCTTAGTTAGTGAAAGAATTGTCTCTCCATTTGATTGTTTCATTTTAGAACTAATGTTTCATATTTATACGTTCATTAATTGTTTAAGTCTTACACAATCGGCACCTAAATATAAATAATGTAATTTTATTTTTCAAAACCTTCCTATGTCGAGAAATAGGTTTTTTTTTTAATAATCTACTTAGATTAGATAAATCAACTCATAAACTATAACAATATTTAAGTAGGTGTTTTATCTATCTATGTGAAGGTGATCGGCTGGATCCAAGTATCAATGTTTTTCTTTACTTTCCAATGTATTTTTAATATAAAAAACATATGAATAATATAAAATTACATTCACCTAAGATATTTGATGAGACTCTTTGAGCTCACACAAACGATTCAATAGGTTATCGTTATTTTATGTTAAACATATTCAAGATGAAAAATGACGTATAAAAGTATACGAAAGTTGGAAATTCTCCGACAATTATATTTTTTTTAAATCTTCAAGATATTTTTGTCATCATTATTAAGTACTTCATTTGCAATGCCAAAATATTGAGAGGTGGTTCGATCTCATCACCTAAGTCTTGTAATTGTATTGTTCCTTTATAAATTGTTAAAATCAATAACTATGTTTAACTTCTTTTATATAATAATAAACCTATTTTTAGAATCCCGCACATATGTAAATTAGGCAATTAACAGCGTCGGTGAAACACAAATAAATTAATTTAAAAGAAATTTGCATCGGCGATAAAACAAATCACATTTGAAAAAAAGAGAAAGATTTTTGTGAGAATTTATTATAAATTAAAGACAAATATTCTTAATAAAAAATGTTGATAAAATCCATTTTGCCCTTGGCACTCTGACAATCACAATGCTCTATTTTTCAGTATGGCATTATATATGCAAAATTGATCAAACGTTATAGAAAATACATTACCTATATTTGTTGCCAGTTTTTCTATTTCAGTCTTCGAAATACTTTTGTTTATTCGACTTTTTAATAATTAATTAATTCAGCAAATGTCATATCACATATAATAGTACTCTACATGAGTACATTTGTATCAATATATATATATTAAATATGACTCAGAATACTAAAAAGATCAAAGAAATTCAATGTGAATATTTAAACCGATAAGTCGCTAACTTTGTTTTTACCGATCCAATTATGAAAATTCTTTCACCTACGTAAAGTTACATCATACACGGGTGACGTATGCTCTTTTCAGTAAACTTAGGAGTCTCCCAAATCTGTCGCCTAAATTTTTAGGAATCGCCTAACGTAAAAATTCATTTCACCATTGAGTAACTAACCTAACAAAATTAAGCAATATCTAAAGTTATTGGTTCTACGGCGCCTTGCCTATTATTTTTTTCTTTTTAAATTTTATCGAAAGCAAAGGAAATTAGACCATGGAAATGAGCTGCATTAAATAAAAATGGCCAAGTGGAGTCAATCTCGCGCACTAACGGTTCCGTACTCGAATATTTATGTTATTCTGTTTTTTAAGTATTTGTTCTTACAGAGGCAACAGAAATACATCATATGTAGAAATTTCAACCGCATTACATGCCAAGTGATAGACGGATAGACAGACAAATGGATGAACAGATGGATCTCAAAAAAGGGTTCAGTTTTTACCCTTTGGAGACGGAACCCTAAAAATAACCTAGTAATTCTAAGCGTTGACTGCAAGACTACTTTTACGCTGCGTTGTTACATGATATTTTTTGTTTTAAAGTTACACTGTTATATATTATGTGATTAAGGAATACATAAATGACAAAACTGTGCTTCCGATAGTGAAAAAACTTTATAATTAGATATTTTTGGAAAACGTCGTTGTTTTACTGGGTAAGCGAAAATTATGTCCAAAGTACATAAAAAATAAGTTCAGACCGGTAAGCAGAAACTGTCAAAAGCGTTTATAATAAAACCTTTGTTGCCCTGTTTCTTACATTTACGGAAAACAATTATTGAATGAATATTCATACAAGGCAGCTCAAATTTCAACCTCAGCAAACGGACTGAAGAAATAATTCTGCCACAACAAATGCAATGCTCCTGAAGAATTTATTTTTACCGTAACAATAAATCTGTATGTAAATTTGTGTAAATATACCAACAATTTTGTTAATTATTATAAATAATCAGTTTTCAAAACATTACCTATTAATTTATAGTTTTAGCGATTGGACCTACTCTGAAAATATTTTTTTCTATATTATAGTCAATTTCATTATGCACTGTTTACATTTTACATATCTTAGTTTGAACAGGAGAGATGACAACACACAGTCCACAATATATCTAATTTCGACTTTAAGAATTGCCTAAAGACGACACTACAATAGCCACATTTTTACGCTATCGTATGCTTACGTTTAATAATTATTACACTTCCAAAAACACAGACAAAAGTTGTTTTATTTATTTAACAATAGAGGACGTGATTTATTACCACGGCCATGCTTTCGTCTATTCATTCATCTCTTTGGTTTATTCACCTGTTTTATGAACAGAGTATATCAATGTAAATGAACTATAAAAACTAGACAATCGATCTATATTGTAATTAGTAAACTTTCGCCAACGCTTTCACTGAAGTTTTGGGTCACCAGAAACTGAAATTAGCTAGCGGCAATTATGCCTCACGACTTTTTCTATATAAAGAGCCCAAGAAACTTTGATCTTCTATAGTAAATTAGTCTTGTATTATAACAAGCTATTTTCGGTTATAATAACTTTTGCCACTGATTGCAAGGAGGTCATAAAACAGAAGATAAATATGATGATGTAATTATTGCTAATCAAGTGGCCATTAATATCTTCGTGTCTAAGGTTTATTGGTATTTTTACTCTAAGTAAATTTTAGTAAGGTGTGTCTCTACTTTGCTTTTATAACTACTAGTCGTTGCCTAACTGTCTTAATTTGACCATAAAGTTTGATCGTTGTGAAGGCATTATCACGGAGTATTTACTCTGTGAGTTTTATATTAAACACCGGGACAGTTTATAGCTTTTTATGATCTCAAGGATATTTTGCACTCATTAATACAATTTAATTCAATTCTTCATTGCAATCATGTGGTAATATAAGATTTTTTTTTGTTTAAATACATCACTATAACATGAACCCTGTCAAGAACAATTGCCATAAATACATTTATTATAATAAAATTAACATGACAATAAAAAATAGATTATAATTTATGATTTAATGTCAATTATATTTACCCTTAAATAATATTAATTACAAAGTCAAAAAATACGTAATAATGAAATTGTCATTAAAAATATTCAAACTCTTCTGTCCGTGCAATATTTCTAAAAATAAGTCCGAAGTTTTTATTTATCGTATAAGAAAATAATAATTTGGGTCATTGTAATAATAATTTTATTAAATGAAATTTTGCAAAGCTGACAAAATATAATTCCGATTAATGGTAACATTTATAAATCAAAAATAAAATAATGTCATCGTAATTTTAAGGTATGATTTAGAAAGCATTATTGACATGACTAATAATAATGTTTCAAAAGTTGAAAATAAAATAAAACAAATAATACCTTCTTTTCTATTTTATAGGATTTTGCTGGTCAATTTTATATTGTAATAACATAATTTTTGTTATTTCCAGTCTTTGAATACATGATGTTTATTAAAAATTATTATCTTACCTTTCTTTAGTTCTCCGACTTCATTCCTCAGTTGTATGTTGGTACCATCTTCTCTTCGCCAGAGTATGCGTGGCAATGGCCTTCCAGCTGCTCTACAGGATAAGCTAACATCTTGGCCTTCTCTCGCGACCACATCGCCGCTGGTGCCTTCATCCATTATGTTTGGAGGCACTGAACAAAAGAAATTGATAGGTAGTTTAGCTAACATGTCAATTAGAAAACGTTGGTGCCCTTGTTTTAATGTTTATATATTATTTTATAAATCGATATGACCATGTAATTTTTTTTAAAGTAAAATCTACTTTTGTGTCTTAATGTATATTGGCATAATCAAAAGAAAAGAAAAACTGATAATACGTATAATATATGTATACAATATATGTCCAATTTAATTATAAATTTTTTGTTTGTTTTATTTTATTAATAGGAATTCATATGTGATATATTATACAACCATATGTACAGATTTTGCCAGAATAACCTTATGTCGAGGCAGAGTCCTGATTAGCCAACCGCTTCAATATAATTATTCGAATGAACATGATATCTGAGGGTCTATTATATTTATCCTTGAATGAAGATTTAGAAATTTTCGAATTGTTGTATCATAAATTATAGAAAAATGCGTTTTTTTGGAATCGTATTAGCATTTGAAAATAGCATAGGCCTTCAGGTGACGTATTACGTACTAATACGTACGAGTAGTACATTTATTTTTCTTTATAACACACTAGATGTGCCCGCGATTTCGTCCGCGTGGAAAAGTGTCTATTGGCAGCATCTTTATTTTTTAAATAAATATTTAAGGGGTCTCCCATACATCAAACGATTTTTTACTGTTACTGTCATACGGCTGTATTTCACTAACCGTGATGGTTAGACACTTGAGAATTTCACAGATGATATAGTTCTGTTGTTGAAAATTAAAAAAAAAAAACTTAAAAAAACATAAAATAAAACTTTAACATAACTACTGAATTAAAAAAAAAACAATATATCTCATATTCTACTGTTGAACAACATGCAATATCTTAACTATTTTATATTATTCAATTAAAATGTCCCAAATAGTATCTTTCATTTAAAAACTCATTTACTGAATAAAAACATTTACCAACTAACCAAATTTTCAAATTTTATTTATAAAATTTAAGTGGCAATAATTTCAGTTTATATTAGTTCCAGTATATTATTATTAAATATCTTTATTGTCATCATATATGAGTTTCTCTTAAAATAGTCGGTTCTAATAAATGGAAAATGTAATTTTTTTATAAATCTTATGTTAAAATTACATTTTTTTCCCTACAGTTCTAAGTTAAACAAACAAATACACCAGTTTTAAAAACAGTAGCGTTACAAGCTCGTATAGCGTTTTATTATTTAACCAGATTAACAATTCCCTATTAAAACGCAAAACTTAAAACAAAAGTTTCTTCGATTGATAAAATTTGGAAAAAATAAAGACTACAACATAAAAAAAACAAAATCCCGTCTTAAAAGTGCAGTGGCGTCATCTAGTGCACAGTAGAGACAGCTAAACGTAACATTTTATTTCCCGCTATTAATAATTCACCAATTAATTATGTTATTGGAAAAACCGTAAAGTTGAAAATGAAAGCTACCTTATTTAATAAAAATCGGAAAAAATAAAAATTAAAAATATAACAAAAATCAAAATCACTGTTTTAAAAGAATAATAGTATCACCTAGCGTTTAGAAGAGGCAACGAAGTGTAACATTTTCGTGTACTAAACCAATATACATATGCATTTTATATTAGCGACAAAGATTGTACCGATTAAAATTATTCAAAACATTATTTAATCCCGCGTAAACAGTTTAAATCATTAAATAATGGATTTGGAAAAAGATGACATGAAATATAATTTAAATGATAAATTGAATTGTAAACAACGGTTACTATGGCAACGATTAAATACCCTATACGAACTTCCACTCCCATTTTCACCCCTTCATGTGCTTTTTTTTCTTTCTATAAATTGAAACTGATATTTTAATTAATATTATTTAGAACTTTCAAATTAATTTTGCGCTCCAAAGAATATATTACCTTATTTTAATAGGTATACTTATATAATTTTGATTATCACAATTTTACAAGAGTGTATTCTTCGATGAAGCTTTGGTATAAATTACCATAAAAGCCAATATACGTGAGATATTAAAATGTTTAATTCTGTTTCCTTGTTCGGTAATCGAACAAAATGATTGATAATGTTTTATTACGAAGCTGTATTTTGAAGTTTCATTTCGAATTCATTAATCGCAACTAATTAATTTATTTGAAGCTAGCTTTCAGCCCGCGACTTTACCCGTGTGGAATATAGTTGTTATAGTACTTTATATTTACATCCCTTACTTTAGCCTCTTTAAACTTATTTTTCGCAATTTGACACTATCGAATCGAATACGGACTAACCAGTCCGTACAGCAGATTTTGGAGAAAAATGGCTGGACAGCAATCCTATTTAATAAAGAATATTATTACAATAGTAAATTATACTAAAAGACTGTCTAGACAGTCTAACCTTGGCCTCGTTTGTCCTATACAAACGTCGAGTAAATTGGAATAATTACAATTTCGTATATTTAATCCCGTAAGTTTTGTCTTACATTTTTTAGTCTCTGTATTAAGGTCACATATTGAAATCTTGCTTCGCAAGTGTTTCCGCAAAAACCCGAAATCATGTTTTAAATATTTTGAAAAAGTATAGTGTAGTTTTATGAAAATTTATAAGAATGAAATATATGCACTCCTTTATATTGGTATTGGATTTGCTAAGAAAAATAATAAAATGATTTAATTCTAAAACAAGTATACGCAATATAATGAGGTAATATATACCTATACGGTTCATTACTCTCTCTATGTTCTGTGGTTCATTGAGATGATTGACATTTTATCTATGCATTTTATATAAAATTCACACAACCTCTTAGTGAGCCTATTTTGTAAGCTAAATGCGAAGTGATACGAATATGAAGCCACAAAAGAACGTTCATCACGAAGTTTAATTGCCAACAGTCAAACGAAAACACACAAAAACTTTCCGGCACACCAGTCGGCTTATCTACAAACTGAATAGCTAGTACACTGTTCACTGCTAAAATGTATCGTCCGTAAATCACTAGCTAGGAACAAAACGGCCGATGTACCATTACAACTACGTACGTGAGTGCGCGACTATTAAGCGCCGTGCCCATTCGTGAACAGGAAACGGTTCCTCGGAGCTACTTATTTATTTACCAGGTTTTTGCCGGGAAGATTTATGGCCAGTTGTTTTGTAATGCCGAATTGATGCTGCAAGTTTACGTAGCTCTATTGGGAGCGCTTAAGTTATGCCGGTGAAGTGAGCAAAAAAAAAAATGTTTTACTATAATTTGACGAAGACGAGTTCGTAAGTCTATGAAATGTTTTGATAATTGTTTCAGCAGAAACAGGAAAATTATTGTGTTTTCTATTTATTTTTTGTTAAAAACAACCTATTATCTCCGACTTCATCTATTTAGACTTCGCGATTGTAATCCCCGATAAATCATATCTCCTTACTTAATGTGGCGAGACTGGCTAAATCCAGTCGCATTAGGGATTGGGAAATAATTATTTCCCAAAACGTTTAAGAATAACAATTACACTTGGAACAAATATATGTCAACATGGAAATGTTAAAAAATGTTTATTATCATATATCTCGCGAGATTGATAATTGTGATCCGCAACGTAGTGTAATCTATAGAAATCAAATTAAGAAATTTACTTGATAGTATCTGTCTTGTATTTTTATAATTAGTATGAAGAATATCAAGAGCTCTCTCTTCCTTTTTGATTCCATACAAAGTTAAGACCTGTCCTCAACAGTGAAGACAATGATAGGCTGATAACAATGATGTCCTCCATAATTTTGTAGATCATCATAATTCCATAGCGTATTCTTCATTTTATGGTAATCAGCGACCAAATCATGTAAAACATACGTGTATATGTCTATTTATACAATTTAGTTCAGATGCTACAGCATGCATGATCGAGTAACAAACTACAATTCATTGTTTCGCTTTTCTATAGAAATGTCTTAATTAATTTGTTTGCAGTACATGATAGAACATTATTACAACCTAGTAAGGAAAAAACAGCGTCACAACGAAATTTCCTCGTCAGATCTTATCGTCGGGGGGTCTCTAACAGTGGCTTTAAGAATAGATGGTATAGTCAATTCGGCCATCCCAAGTCTCCTTGAATGGCCTAGAATGAATAAATGTATTTTTCCTCCTTTCTTAGAACGTTCCAACGCTACTGGACTAAGCAATGCAAGGATTTTTTTATCATTTTGCATGGAATATAAATGGTTTATAATAACATATTTCTAAGAATAATAATGTTATGATTTTTTATTTATCAAGATAATGGACTTTGACACTTTGAGATGTGACTCGAATTCATGATCGGCTGTTTGGGAAGATTGCCGAAAAAATAACAAGTGCTTGAAAGATTCGTCAGTCCTATAAGTCCTGGGTAGATCAGTGGTTAGAGCAGACGCCCGGATTGCAAACGATCAAGGGTTCAAGTCCCATATCAGACTATTGAACACAAAACAAAATCTATTCGTTTCAGTAGTTCCTGAGATTATAGAGTTCCACCAAACAAATTCTTCAGCTTTATTATTAGTAAAGATATAATATTTTATTCTTCCTATTTATTTATTAATATAAAGATATGTGGTATTTTTTTATTTCTTTGTGATGGCAGGTGCAAAGATATAAATTTGGTTTTCTACTTCAAGTTACTTATCAATGCATAACAATTATTCTTAATTACGTGATATCTACTCAAACGAATATAAAATGTATTATTTGTGTTAAGTAATTTTGGGAGAACGCCAAGAAAGCAACTGGAAATGTTTCAGTGGTATGATTATGAAGCCAAATATGAAGAGAGATACAGAGCAAGCTTAATTTTTTATTTGACAGTCACAGCTTAATTTAGGGAATTTTCACTGAATTACTTTTAGCTATAATTGAACTTCATAACTTAATCTTTATAATAATTATTGTGTTTCAACGTTATCGTTTTTTTATATTGTAATGAAAACTGACTCATAGTCTAATAAAGTGAGTTCCTTTCGCTCGTTTTTC